ATAATCGTTCGTATCATCAAAAACGAAATTAAGACGCAGATATTCTTCTGCAAGTTTAACGATTGTTTGAACCAGATGTAATATTCAACATTTTCTTTAAGACTATTACATGAAATAAAAAGAATTGCGGAATATTCTGTTTGAACGTGCGATAGACGCAATATACAAATGGTATTGTTCCTCTTAAATTGTTTTCGCAAAAGTGATAAAGTACTTCGCATCCTACGTGAAACGAGCGTGGATTGCGGGCCGTTGCTCTTTCCCTCGCCGCGAGTGGGTCTCGCAGACCGAGGACCTTCTTGCTCGTCGTGCTTGTGCTCGAGGAGATCCTCGGGACCACGTTTCTACGTTGATTGATCGCGTCTGCTCATCGCGCCGCTTTTCTGCCCGAGTCTAATGTTCTTTTTAATACCTGTTTACAACTAGCTGCGTGCTCTCTCGTGTTTTCCACGACTGACTCCATATTTGGGATTGGACGATATGAACGGAAGAGGCATGCGGTACTATATGAGCATCATTAGACGGGTATAATTAATACGGTTAATAGTGCAAGACACTCTTTCAGAGATAAAGAGAAAATTTATGAAAGTGCTTAATTCTAAAATTTTGCGCAATTCTAGACCTCGCGAGGGGATTGCAGCAATTAAATTCTTAGCTCATATTTATTTTAACTACACTGATAAGAAAAATATCTTAACCCTAAAAAAATATTACTTTACTCAAGAAAATTATTCAGGTTAGGTGGCTCCTAATAGCTTATTAACTTGAATTAAAAAATAATAGACAAATTAAACAATGCAGTTCTTTAATTTAAGTATTTATTAAATATCAAAGCGTAGATAATTTTAAATTAAAAAAATTTCATTTTAATTCTATAAAATGTTTACTAAGATGTACTTTTCACAGCGAAGAAAATTGAATTTCTTATTTAAGAAAAACAATTGTGTCATTTAATATTCTATATCTCACGAAATCTTTATTTGAATGTAAATGGCACTTTCCATTTCGTTACAAAATTTGCGAAAAAAATCAAGTTAGTAAACGCTTACAACATTTTTCGACCATTTTTGTGGCCACAGGAATAAAAAATAGTTAGGGTATACGGTATTTGGTGCCACTACCTTACCTCAGTCAGTCACCAATTCGACCACTGCCTCCAGGTTCTTACATTTTTGTCGAAACTCTGTGGCATGTGCAAAAAAACTTTAACTGGCCGTTATTTTATTATGGTCGAATCTTTTAGTCAGTATACTATTTCGCCCGATAATTTATAAGAGTAAATCTCAGGGTATACTAAACCACCCACTTTGACATATCCTTTTAATTATCATATCCGCTTTATATCTTGTCGTTCGCGCTTTTATTGCAAGACGCTAGGCTGCCTCGCGAGTTTCAAATTAAATTTTGCTATTGGAATAACAGACATCGTATCGCCGAGGATGAACGTATACGACATATACTACTAAACCAACTGGCTCTCCCAGTTCTTTGCCGAACCATAATAAAACATCTATCTATCCGTTTAGCGTTTTACGAGCGTGTCCCTCGCGCGTCACGCAATCCCAGGCGACGGAGAGTCCTTAAAATCGCAGTTCGTAACCGATAGACCGCGTGCACATTGGCGAACGAGAGAAGCGAACGTTGAGCTACGAATTGACAAATTGTGTACAGCAAAGTGATTTACTTTTCATTACTTTTCATATGAAATCATCATGTAATGACGCAATGAAACCAAAGTACATATAATTTTAATTAAAACAAGGATTATCTCTACCATTTTTTAAAGAGACACGTCTGTCTCTTTGTCATTTCTAAGTTAATTGTAAAATGAAAATAGGCGAGTCGTAGATCGTACACAAACTACATCTCCCTACAATTCGGACAATCGTCCGTATTATCCCGAATTTCACTCGGGATCGCCCTCTCCGCTCTTTATAGGGCGAGAAAAATTCATCGCCCACCGATGTGCACGCGGCCTGCGGCCGTCGCTCCGCGCTTTCCGGCGTTATAGAACGACGCGACGGTCCGTGCGCCGGTGTCGGTAAATCTTTTCTGGCCGCGCGGGCCGCGACACGAAACGGCGTGTCAAATGCGGGGAAAAGAGCTCGCCGGGGCCATAAATGCGAGGAAAGAGATCCTTTTTGTGCGGTCGAGATACACGCACGCATATACCGCGCTTACAGTCTCGACGACGAGGCCGCGCTCGCGCCCCGGTCGTTGCGGCCTATCCGGGACGACCGCAAGCGGAACACCGCAGAGTTCCTGGTACCCCGGGCGAATGCACCGCGCCGTCGGCGCGCCGTTGTTCGAAGGGGACTTCGAGACAGGCGTCACTGACCGAAAAAACTCATTCTTTCTCGCAGCAAAGGAGCAGAAAGCAGAAAGCCGTGGCGGCGCGGTGCGGCGCGGCGCGACGCGGCACGGCGCGCACCGCGGTCCGCTCGTAAAAATATTATTTACGTCCGTCACGATGGCCGCCCGATCGCGCACCGCTTTGCGCCACGGCCGCTCTTCGTCCCGATTCTCTCGCGCTCCGATATAATGCAGCCCGGTGCTCTTAATTCGCCACGATATCTAAAGTCTCGCCCGCACTCTTCGCCTTTGACGACCAGCCTGAGCGAATCGCGAGGTAGGGGACGAGATAAATCGTGTGCGTTTTATGCTTTCACAAATGCACTGGAAACAGGACTTTCGTCGGCTCTGCGAGTGCGAGCCGACTATGTAAATTTTTTATATATATACGCACACACTAAACTAAATTTTAACTAGGTCCTTTTAAGATACAAATCAATTAGAAACGTAAACGTCATTTAGGACCTGGCACAGGTGGAGTTAGCCAATTAAATTACTAAGTGAATCCACACTGAAAAAAAATCTGATAGATTCAACCAGTCGTCTGCTAGAAAATGGACGAATCAGAATTCCTTTAGGATTTACCAGATATGAAATATCGTTCATAACCAGAAGTTTGCTAGACTTCACTACACATTTCTGGTAAATCCTAAAGGAATTCTGATTCGTCCAGTTTCTAACAGACGACTGGTTGAATCTATCAGATTTTTTTTCAGTGCACATACCGTATTTTTCAAAATTCCGTACGGGGAGTGGGTTATTGTAATGAATCGTAAGCATAGCATTTAAAGTATTATAATTTGTCAAAAATCGTGATTTTATAACACGCGAATTCACGGACGATAATGATTCCACCTAACGAAAAACCTGCGTTATATGTCCGGTAGTAACGGACATGTTGGAAAAAATACAGTATATGGATTCATTTAGTAATTTAATTGGCTACCTCCACCTGTGCCAGGTCCTAAATGGCTTTTACGTTTCTAATTGATTTACTCTCTAAATCTGAATCAGTGGAAAAGTCACTGATTGAATTAGTAACGTCTTACATCGCTGATGAAACAGTGAAACATGGCGTTATAACCACTGACGAATCAGTGAACTTCGCCGTTCTCGCTGATTGCGCAGCGCGTTCGGCCATGTTAGTGGCCTCTGAGCAAGTTCGTGCGTGAGTTTATCTCCAGAGAATCTTTTATTGGGGTAAGTACATTAATAAGTATACACATATTACTAAGTAAGAATTTTTGCGATAATGAAAGAAAAAATCGATGTATGGTATGAGAACTGGCATGTGAGCCGACCGTACGCCAGTTCTTATACCATATAGTACATTAGGTTATATTGTAGGTTAGGGTTACGTTCCGAAACTTTCTTCTCTGAGGAAAATTTTATTCGATGGCCATTCCGAAACTTTTTCGAGAATTTCTGATTGGTTCGGATCCATCTCTCAAGTAAAATTTTTCTCGGAGAAGAAGGTGACGTAACCTTCTACGTTGCTTTGTGCCGGGACATTGTGTGTACATGTCCCGTCTGGGCAGTCGAACGGTTCGCACGTCTTCCGACGGAAGATAAATTTTTGATCCTGCGGGATTGCATCATCCCGCGCGTGGCCCGGTTACCGGGCCATTGCATTGTTTAACTCATATTTAGCCTATTGGTTCGACGTGGCCGTGTCGGCTCAGCGTTTGAGCCGGGAGCCATGGGATAGAAGAAGAAGAAGAAGACATTGTGTGTACATTCACTAATCAATAAGTAAACTTTTAACTGATTAAATCAGCATATCTTCGCTGATTCATTCAGCATCCGATCAGTTCACTGATTTACCAGTTGAATTTAGCTGATTATCAGTGGCATACTTAGGGCTGATAAATCAGTGAATAGTCACTGCCAATCAGCGACTATCCACTGATTCAGATTTAGAGAGTATATAATATATATATAGTTTATTGCTTTCCCTTAGGGTTACAAGATTAACTCCTACATAGATAAGACCAAGATACAAAAACAATTTTACAATACGTTTCGCTTATAGACTATGTGAATAATATTGAATTAGGTATTACTTTGAGAGGTAATTTGAATTACGATCATTGGACTACATAATTAATGCGTGTGTACGTTCGTGGAATTATTTGCGCAGCGATCTGAAAGGCAGAATTATTCGCTTGAGTAGTTTACTTCGTTACATCTAGAACTGTAGACTATCTCGTCCGTCTTCGCGGTCTTTGATCGCTCTAAGCCTGCTTGAGGGACGTCAATGTATTTATACGAATCCATCGCAAACGTCGAAGCGATGCCTGGGACGTCTACCTTGCCGGGGAGATTTCTAAACCGCCGAATAGCGGCCACGTATTCAAAGGGCGTTCACTTGGAGCCTCTTGGCGAAGATAAGGGAGGGGAAACGATAGTAGCACGTACGGGGAACAGGCTAAAGAGAGACCGACAGTGAACGACCGAACGAGGAGAAAGAGTGCAACGACACGGTGTGGTGGTAGCGAGGAAAGCAGGCAACGACGACGACGACGACAACGGTGGATGGCGAAGAGAACGAAGAGGTGGAGGCCGCCGATGGAGCCGAGGAACGAGCTCGGCCGCGCCCGGGGGAGATTATGATAATGCCAGCAGACGTTTCGGGGCCGTAAAAATAATATGATGGTGTCTCGGCACGGCTACCGGGTACTTTGGCCGCTCGCGTGCACGGTGATTCATTCCGGCGCGATAAAAAGCGACGTGACTCAAACTTGAACCGAAGAGAGGTACGTGGGCATACACGCGCACCTCTCTCTTCCGCTTTCGTTCTTTTGTCCTCTTTTTCCCCCTCTCCTCCTTTTCTGTTTTTCTTTTTCTTCCCTTTTGCGCGAGGCCCTTCGCGGGCGCATCCGCGTTCGCGCTGAAACTGCCCGCAAGAAGAGGCGACCGGGTCCGACTTGCCCGAAAATTTTCGACGCTCCGCGAAATTGCGGCTTACTTCGAGCCCGGGATTAAAGCCGGCGCAATTTCGATAAGCCTGCAATCGGTGAAATTTTCAATTTCCGTCGCGAGCGTTATTCGACGATCGAATATGTTAAGAGGAAATATTTGGAATTTGTGTACCGCCGTACCGATAAGCGGGCTCTCTAGGCGATTGTTGAAATCCCCTTTGCGATCCGACAAGTGCGAAAAATGTAGAGCGGTTTAGTTTCAACAGCCTCGTCGAAATTAATAAGACTGTTCAAGTTGAGCAGGAGGGAAGATGTTTATTGTGACATCGACGTATTTTATGCAAATGTATAATCCATAGTGCCGTACTTTGCGTCAGTACGCCAGTCGGATTATGCCAATGTAATGTGCTCGTAAACACGCGGAATAAAAATATCGGACGGTAGGAAGGGTAGGCGGAGAGGGAGAGGGAGGGAGAGAGAGAGAGAGAGAGAGGAAGTAAAAATAATTAAATCATCGAGACTCACGTTCAGTTCTTTCTCAAGATATTTATTCCCGTGTACACAGGTCGCGGATTAGCGACGGGTATCTTGCACTGACATTTTTGTGAAAATAATGCTTTTTCTCGTGAAAGGAAGCCGCGGCGAGGGACGAGAGGCTCCATTATGCTAAGGACACCACTCGATAATCGTATACGGCCGTAAATGTCGTTTATTTTCAATAACCGACTCCATCGATAAAGGTCGGGCGCAGCCGCCGTCGCGTTACGACATTCTGCGCGGCCCATTCCGAGTATTTACTCACTCGTGCCGTGACAATTCACGGTCTTAGCGTCTTTCGAACGAGCGATGGATTTTTACGACGCGCATCCCCCGTACTCCTCTCCTTCGCCCCCGGGCAGGAACGATCGCGTTGACGTTGATTGCTCGATAAAAGTGACGTCGGCCGTTCGGCGCGCGGTAGTAAGTGTCTCGCGCGATCGCGATATGACGCGAAATACGAGGCGCAGCGATCCTCATGCCTGGCCGGCGCGAAAAAGCCGATGCGCGAAAACGATCGGGGATAATGGCGAATCGGATTTTACGTGTGAGGGACGCGGAGAAGTTGGCGCGTGTGTGCGCGCGCCACATGCCAGCGGAATGATCCTTGTTAACCCCTCGGCTGTTGCACGGCCACGCGTATCGAGAATGCATACATAAATTAAGGAATTACGGAAATTCTCGCGACGTGGCTTTCGCGTGGCCGCGAAGGCTGCCTCATCTACGAGTGCACGCATTAAACCGTTCGCAGCAAGTGGATCGGCGAGATGATCTAAAGTATTGATACAATTGTGTTCGCGATCGTTGAATACAGCGATGAGAGACGTATTAACGTCCGCCCGCGATATTTAAACGCGGTTTGAGTTGACAGAGCCCGGAGTGAGCTACATCCGGATTAATTTATAGCTGAGGGAAAGAGCCTGATAATTTCAGGCCATCCTGTTTTCTCCGAGAGAGAGAGATAGATCGCGGTGAACGGCGCCAGATTCGACAGATTAAATCCGCAGCGGACGCGCGGCTCGTACGTACATCGATTTCCAGTGCGAGCCGCAAGGCGCTGTTACACGGACGAAACTGGGTCCATAATTACGGGCCGGTTCACTTACACGCGGTACCGCTATTTTTGCCGTACGTCGGATAAGTATTCGCATCGCGACCTGCCCCAAACTAGCCCGATTCTTGGGGCCTCAAAGATCCAGGAACCCTCGCGTCACCTCGCATCGCGTGTTCTTAAAATCTATCGAAACGTATCCGACGAAATCTTTGGAATAGTTTACTGTGTGGGCAATTTTTAGCAGAATTTCACACCTTTTGCTTCTTACGTTGCTTCGCTAAAAAGGATTATTTCTGTCGTTGAATTGTTTATTACCCGACGTATCGTTAAACGTTAGATCTGTCCACGAAATATATTAAAGCTCTTTGGAATTTCTTACACCGGGAAAGAAGATTTAGTTGGTATAAGATTTAATCTACTAAATTTTTATTCGCTTCTGCTGAAACATTTGCTAGACTTGAAGAAATAGATGTGAATTCTCTTAGAATTCCAGTCTCGATCAAAATAAAATTTTGGTTTAAGGTAAAGAAAGCATTTGTTCGAAATAAAATCAAAGTCTAGTAAAATCAAAATTGAAACAAATTTAAATTAATAATTATAAATAGGCTCCGATAAAAACTAATTAAAATCAAAATAAAAGGATATAGTATATATTTAACAATTATATATTTCGTTCATGTGGTTGCAAATTTTGTTTAGATACCGTACTATAAAATTTTCAAAGGCGTCGTGGAAAGCTGCGGGGATTATCGTTACGTTATAAGCGGAGAGATATCGGTGATTGGATCCGACAAGGTCGAGATCACTGAACTTCCTATTGGTACGTGGACGCAAACGTACAAGGAAACTGTGCTGGAACCTATGCTACATGGAACTGATAAAGTGCCAGCTATCATCACGTAAGCATTACAATTGATCAATTGATGGGAAAATGTACAAGTAATTTTTGTGATTTTTTTAAAATATTCATTTTATCATAGGGATTACAAAGAGTATAACACAGATACGGCGGTACACTTCATAGTAATATTGAACCGAGACAAATTAGTGGAGTTAGAAAGAGAAGGTCTTCATAAAGTATTCAAACTTCAGACGACGATGGCTAGAACATCTATGGTAAGTTACTAGAAATATTGATATGGCACTAAGATGGCAAATGACACTGGACGTTTCTTAATATCTTATTTGCAGTGTGCATTTGATGAAAACCAATGCTTGAACAAGTACGACAATGCGAAACAAATGTTGAAAAGATTTCGTAAAGTACCATTGGAGGCATATGACCAATATAGAATTTTGGAAGCAGAATCGGCGAGGCTGTTCAATCAGACGCGTTTTATCTTTGAGATATGCAACGGTACTTTGGTGATAAAAGACAAAAAAAAGAAGGACATGATAGCAGAATTAGTCAGATGCAATTACAACTCTGATCCGGTGGTACCTTGGAAATTATTCCAGAACAGAGAGGAAGTACTGGTAAGTAGACTTTTCTTTGAAAAATTTGATGCAAGCGCAAGAGAATTTTATTTATTAGAATTTATTAATTTTGCTACGCCCCAGGAGGATCAAGTAAGTTAATATAAAAAGAAACAGTATGTAAAAGTTACAATGTGAACGTTGTAAATCACAAAGGTCTTTTAATAAACACAACCATTTTCCAATGAATAAATCTTACAATTAGTAGAAACTGTTTAACAAACGTTTTTTAACAAAAGTGAGCAGATAACTTTCTGTTGAATATAGAACTTTGGATCATGGTTGTTTTTGTAGAAAGTTTCTTTTTTTTGTGTCGATAAATATGTGTAGTAATTTTTGTTGTTGTAAATAAATAGGAGGAGGCTGTGGAAAACGATGAAGAGGCCGCTCCAACCGCGTCAACAATAGAAAAGGAGAATTTCGATTATCTTCTCGAAATGCCGATGTCCAGCCTGATGAAGGAAAAAAAGGATCATTTATTGCGTCAAGAGTGCGAGAAGGACTCGGAGCTGAACAGATTTCTAAGTCGCACGCAAATCTCTTTATCGAAGAAGGATCTGGAGTATCTTTTCGCCGAATTGGATATTTTAAATAAAGTAAGATCTGCTTCGAAAGAAAATTAATTCTGTTCGTATATTAATAATTTCTAAATTGGCTTACGATGTTCATGTAGCTGGAAGAAAAAGAGAAGAAAGACCAGAACAAAGCGAAGCAAAACATGAAAAATCCGCCTTGGAGATTCTACAAGAACGACGATACTCGTCGCATAGTTCCCTTCACCGACGTTGAATTGAAGAAAAAGATTGAGAAGGCTGACATTGTGTCAAAGGATAAGAAAGAAGGCATAAAGAAGCCAAAAGTAAGTTAACTATGCGTTATCTAATTTATTTGTACATTTGTGTCGCTATTCAAGTCGTTGAAAATTTGTGTATCAGATGAAGAAAGAGCCAATCTTGGAGGAGAAAGACGAGTTTGATACGTTAGTCGACGCATATACTAAACCCCTCGAACATAGACTTGGAAATTCTCCAGAAAAGATAGAGAAAAAAGTAACTGCAAAGAAAGGTTGGTAATTTTGAATTCATAAATTATACATTTTATAGATATAGGATATTTTAACGACGAACTCTTCTGTTTATGTAAACAGGATTGAAGCAAACAACATTACGATTTAAACCAATTAAGAAAGGAGCGAAAAAGAAGGAGAAGGATTCGGACGATAGCGACGACATCGATTTTGGTAACGTTTTGCCACCTCCGCAACCACGAGCATCTCGTAGAGCCGCAGGTATCAGTCTCTTCATTTTCCTTCAAGATTATTAAAATAGATTGTTTTATTTTTCGAAATCTAGCTCATACTATTTATTAAATCTTCTTAAATAATAGCAAAAAAGAATTACAATATGAGCAGTGAGGATTCGGATGACAGTAACGAACTGTTCAGTCGTCCCTCTTCTGATTCAGAACAAACGTACGTATAATATATCGATACTGTACATCACATTGACTTGCTTAGATCAATTTCTCATCGCGTATCCTGTTTAGAACCATGAAGAAAGAGTCGATTATGGTACTAACAATAAGTGACTCCGACGACAACATTAAACCGAGCAAGAAACTGCCTCAATCAACACGTAAGGGCATACAGTATATATGTAAGTTAAACAATACGCGGTTATGCATATTGCAGGTATTTTTTTTATCTCTGCAGCGACTTCGGAAGAACTTTTCGATTCGTTGGTTGGCAATACTCCTGATAAACAATCTTCATCTGAGAAGAAATCTGCACTAATATCTTCATCCGAGGAAGATTCACTTGCGATGTTCACGCCACCTAAGAAGGGTAATTGACGTTAATCGAGTCATGTGGCTAAGTGTAAACTATTTCATTATCATTACTTATCTCTTGCATTTACAGCACCTGCTAAGAAGAAGACTGAAAACGGTGGTAACAAAGGAGTAAAGAGACAGAAAAAGAAACCAAAATCATCCGAGGATTCTGATACGGATGATCTATTTGTCACTAAACAAAGTCACGTAAGTACGATTTTTTTAGTCAATATATTTCATGTGTTTAATAATTCTCGTGAGTTTCTCACTAATTTTATTTTATTTTCATAGGCGAAGAAGAAAAAGAAGAAATCAGATTCTGATGAAGAGATGAGAGATGATGATTCGCCGCCGCCGCCACTCTGGAAGATTGCCGGTAGAGCTCGGAAGCACAGATCTTACGGATTAAAAATGTCGTATGTTTTTTAATGTGTAAGATCTGTGCTTCTCTGTTCGAACGTCGTTCACCTTGAAAAATGCCACAGACGACGAAATTAACTGAAGTAGTTTAGAGTGAATCCGAAAACACTGTGAAAAGATGTTGCACAAGTTTATTTGGAGAATTTTGGAGATTTTGTCCTCGTCAATTGTTGGTCGTGACATTAGTAATAATTATGTAGGGTGTTTCGTCACAGAGAATCCGCCAGAATATGAAATGCGCCCCTTGAATAATTTTGCAAGTAGAAATAATTTGAAATAAAAATTTGTATTTCTGTTTTACTTGAGTAACATTTCAAGATTTGCTTGAGCGGTCGCTCGATCTCTGGCACGTTCTTCCTGAAACGCTCCGCAAATAACTTTGTACATTAACACAAAGATTTGTGCGAACCGTTTGGGACATGTAATATCTGTTAAATTGAACACTAATTTTTCAACTGCGTACGTTTCGGTCTACGAATGCGACCCTCTTCACCAATAAATGAATAAAAAACAAATTGGTCCTAACGTATTATACGAAGTGACGATTCATTATAATGAAACAAATTAATTTGATTTCGAAGTTTTTTTTTCTGGGCGCTGGGAGAAGGAGATAATATTCAGGCTCGATTTTTACCAGCTTCATTTCGAGACGCTCTCAGGCGGTGCATCGAACAATTTTAAAACGTCGAATTCGCGAGGGGGTAACGGTAGATACTTCCAGCAGCACGCCCAGTGAATTTACGAGAGGAAACGCGGCCTCGGTTATTTGTCGACGACTTCGGCATTTATTTTTCTTTTGTACCCGGCGGGCATTTCCTCCGCTGTTGCCCACCGTCGCCAGTGTATTTCTGCCGTTGCTTTTCCGCGGCGCGTCTGCGCCATGCGGCGCGATGAAAATTCACGGATGCACTCGGCTGCCGGATGCAGTTTGCATAATGCGGTAGTAACTTATCGCGCTTGCATATCGTTGCCGGGACGCGGCTTGACCGCGAACACTGCGGGACATCGTCCGATTTTTTCGCGCGATAGTTCCATAAATGGTAACGTGGTGATTAGCTGCTTACGACCCGGCGGCTATACAGGACGTTCTAAAATTACATGCTAATATGCGGCGGGTATCGCCCCTTGTATTTTTTAATTAACTTTGATTGGATTTCAGGTTGAAAATATTGCGAAAATATCCCACCAGGGAACGTCCTGTCGAGAGGTATTTCGTGCGCCTGTAAATATTGGAAATTGGGAAGAATATTAAAAAGGTGAAATTCACGGAAGCTCGTGAAGGAAAAATGCTCTCGCGTTGTTAATTTTGTTTACGTTGTTTCGGAATTTCTTGCGATCGACGGGGGTATCGTTTGTGCATGGAGAGGAGTCCTGTATATTCGCGTGCACCAAGACGTCACGAATAGCCTCGTTCCCGGCGACGGGGATCGATTTTAATGGCATTATACGTTACCCTTGACGATCTGCCACACGGAATTTCAAGTACGAGAGCCGCGCGAGAACGTCGCGAATTATCCTTCTCCTCGCCCGGCCGCGGCTCGCGGCTCGCGGCTCGCGGCTCGCGGCTCGCACGAGCGACGTCCTTACAATCGCGCGCTACGTTGGTACAATCGCTTCGCGAGAAGAGCCATATTTACTCCGGACGGCCTCGAGACACATCGTGCGAATACCGTGACTGCGATACGGACGGAACTAAATCGTTTTCCGTAATGGCGGTAATTATGCGAGGCATTCTTCCATTACAAGTTTTTCAATTACGGCATTCCGCGGGGGCTACCGTTTATAAGAGGGACCTTCCGCGCCGCCGAGCGACGGCGAATTTTTCTGATGGACAATCTCCCCGGGAATTGCGCTTGACTAATCGTCAGCGATATACGCGCGACATCCCGTAAACATTGATACGTTATTACGGTTGATTTTACGACCGCGTAAAGCGCAAACGACGTATCTTGCGCGGCGTAGGCACGGCGGACACGCGAATTGGTTGTAAATTCTGCGACCGCCGCGCTATTATACTAGCTCGTTGTTTAATTAATTTCACCACCGGAATAAACATGGATTCGCCTAATTGACTATCGCATAAATGGATACTGCTCCTCGGGAATGCAATTTAGTAACGTGACATTTCGGATTCTGCAAAATTGATGAGCTTGTTTTAATAATCATGCGAGTGATGTACTTGAAAATGAACTCGGAGCGCTCGTGTAAAAACAGTGCTCTGGCGTTCGCTCCGCGGAACACTATTAATATCACTCTATTAATTAATTGTGTTTTATTAAACGCATATATACATATATATATAAATAATTCAACTTTATACATTTCAGTGACTTCCATGCCGAAAACGACATGCATATAGTATGAATTCTCAACATTCATTACGCTATTTTCAACGCCGACGTGATTAGCGATAACGGTTTCATTTGTTAACACAGTCGTCCCTCCGAGTTCACAACGAATTCAGCGCCGCGTCAATTCGATCGTTTATCTCACCGCGTTTCATTTCAACGACACGACGGGATTAACTTTTTCCCCCCCTCCTCCCCGGCACGGGATCCTAGTTGGCTCTCGCGAGTGTCCCTCCGCGGCTTTCCGACGCTTCGTGCACCCTCGGTGGCCCCGCTGCACCCACTTTCGTTTTCGCTGTCGATTGTGGATTTGGCAAGCCCAAGTGGCGTCGCTCCCACGCGACAGGACACCGGAGGGACACCCGGGGATTCGATGGATGAATTATTTACCCGATTATGTCGCAGCGTAAAGGCCTCCCGCCCCTGCACGGCTCCAAGGCCACGGTGCATTATTAACGCGCATTACGACGAGGCGAAGCGTCGCTCCTCGCGGCGGTCTTTACCTGAGACAGGCGAAACGGGTGCGTTTTACGGGGGTCTTCTTTGATGGATTACTGCCCGGCGGTATCCGAAAGCGGATAATTCCACGGCGACTATCTAGCATTCATTTTACAATGCGTTCGAGTGACGGTATTACGGTGGTGCCGCCATAAATCTCGGCGGTCCCGAATCCGCGGGTGATTTTGGGTCTTCGAACGCTCGTAAAGATGTTGAAAATGCGCCGGTTTTACCGCGGCGATCGTCAAAGTGTGCGCCGATTTTTCGAAATATTTGCTCTCCACTCTGGGAAAGAGAAAGACAGCGACCCATTTTGGGGCCCACAGTAGTCGAATTATTTGGATTGTTCGTAACTCTAATCTTTTACGAATTTTTCCGCGTAACTAAAAATCGCAATTAGCTATTCTATCTGTATCGAAGTTTTTTTACATGATACTAATCAATTCTCTCAATTAGTTCTGCCGCAAATAATTCGATTACTAATTGTGGGCCCCCAAAATGGATTGCTGTCTTTTTTTTTCCCAGAGTACATTTTTCTTGCCTGCGAATTTGCCGTGTGTTAACAAACGCGTCCGATAGTCCGACCGAAGGCTAGTAGATAATTCCTCCTGAGGATTATCTATTATCTCCGCTTCCTTGGTAGCTTCTATCGGGATTACGTGTAAACCTCTTTGCTACCGCTCCCCCTTCTCGCCCTTCCGCCTCTTTAGTTACCCTCGCAGGGGACGTTCTCGCGGGATTTTCGATAAGGTCTTAACCTTTCCTCTTTCCTTCCTTCCGCTCCTTTCGCCGAATAAGCCGTTCTTCTTCATTCCGTTTACCAAGCGAGCCCTCGCTCGTAATTCGTACCTTCGATTCCAATAGCGTAACACGTCGCGGCTCCGCTTTACATCCCCGGCGGTACCGCTCGGTTATTTTGCAGTGTCGCGTCGTAATGAGAAAAAAAGGGGTCTCGGTTTTCCAAATGAAGTTACGGTAATTTTGGAACCGTTTGTCTGGTGGCGTCGCGTGGGCCAATGGTAGTTTATTCAAAATCTCGCCTCTTCGACCGGTCCCCCCTTTCTCGCTATAAATTGTATGACGCATGGCACGACATGGCAGGCTTGGAAAACGGCGCGCCTTATTACCATCATTCGTTTTCGTTAACGCAAACGCGGCGCCGCGGTGGAGGAGATTTTCACGCTTGACTTTCGGGGTTTTCGTTACGGGTGATTTGTTTTCGCGCGAGGTACAATCTTGCATTTCGCATCACGCCGAATAAACATATAGCCCGGGAATTTTAGGTGATCCATGATCATTGATGTCAAAACAGTTAAATTCGCGAATAAAGTAGCGACGTCAGAGAACTTTTTCCCCCATTATAAAACGTATATTTTACTCGAAACTTCCTTCCATCCGTAAGATTTATTATCACATTACGCAATGACAATTGCATAATTTTCATTTTATATATTGTAGAAGAGATCGATCTTTTAGTAGGTGTTTTACAAAGAGCGCAAAGCGATACAAGTATGCAAATTTGTTTAGTTCCACAACTATATGCATTTGTTAGGGAATCTTGGGATTCATCCGGATAAATAAAGCGATCGTATCCCGGCGACGAAGACGAGAGGCAAATTAACGCGCGCGCAGTGACTGTGCGGAATATCCGCTGCGCGCGGGTTTAGGCGAGACTTTAGCCGAATCGTTTCCGGTAAATTTCCCTCCGACCGATAGGCCGCCGGTATGCTCCGGCAGATCGTAGCCGGCCCGATATCGGAACTCGCGCTTCGGAGCACACGCGACTTAACCGTCCGGAAAATTTTTAAAATATCGAGCGTCGTCGAGCGGCGCGCGTCCACTCGGCGAACGATCCCGGATTCGAGCGGGTAAAGACGAATTTACACGGTTCACGTCGGGCGATCGCACCGGATGAGTCTCACGCAAAGAAACAGAGAGAGAGAGAATCCATTCCGGATCAACTACCTTTTTTATTCCAGTATACAAAATGTGCGCAAATTATCTTGGATCAAACGCGACGAGTCATTTACGAGCAAATTGGATAACGACTCCCCTTCTGTCATCGTTCGATGGGAATAATGGCGGTCTCTATTCACTCTATTTCTTTTTCCCTCGCTCCGTGCAACTTGTAAAAGCGACGCGGCGCGTCAAAAGCGTGCCGCGAGCAAATTTGCCTTAAACGGCGAAAGCGAGAGCAACACTATTCATACGACGAGAATGTCGCATAGTTGCCCGATTACCAGCCATCGTCCCGAACGCGAGAGAAGAGAGACGCGGCAAGTTTGCTCGTAAAACTCCTTCGACCGACTACTTTTATGCGCCCTGTGCCTCCCCTCTCCCCCCCCCCCCTTCTCGCGCCTCACCACGCCGTTCCCCCTTTCACAAACGCCATCGTGTTGCAGCAGGGAGAGGATCTACGTGGAGTTGCAGTTCCGTAATTACCGGCTGCAGTTTCGCAAAATCAAAAGTAACGAGCGCAACTCCCTCCTCTCCCTTTCCCTTGCCACTTTAGGGCAGCAATTAAACCCTTTTCGGTAGCCAGACGTCTATAGGCGCGATTCCGCGCGAATGCGTACGTCGTGACGTCGCGCGCTCTCTTCTCTCCCCCCCCTCCCTCTCTCTCTCTCTCTCGGTTCCATTTCTAAAAATACTTTGCCCGTCAAAGGTTGCGCATGCGTTATCCTTTGATTCTCTCTCGTTTACCTTCGTCCCTTTGCTTTTTTTTTTTTTTGCGAAATTTCGACGTGCGACTGTTGCGGGCTGGAAGTCGCTCGTTTTTTTTTAACACGGCTTTCAAAAAGCCGTACAGTAATAATTAACCTCTTGCAACGAGCACGGCTTAATATGTAAGCGCTGCCTCCCGCGTACTAATTAATCCCCTCGTTCTTAGCATACGTAGCCGCGCGGCTACGTGTTAAAAATGGTTTGAATGGAATGACTGACGCCGTGCGTGCAGAAACGGGCGAATTCGGTTTCGAGTAATGAGTGCATTAATTCCCAAGTAGCACCTAATTAGAGACGTATTTTTCACGTATTTACTTTTAACTTGTCCTCTGCCAATTTTATCCGATAATAAAATACGGTTAAATAAAATACATGACGCACGCATGCGAGCTGCATTAAAAAGAAGTTTCGCCATTCGCGTTAGAGAAATTAACTTTACAAAATGAGAGAAAGGGAACGTTTAATTATTGTACTTTTTCCATTACGGTTCCTTCAATAATCAACATTGTATAATTAAAAAAAAGAAAGCACAGCGTTTTGCCACGAAAACCAAACAAATCATACTTTTACATAATTGAGTACCGCATACGATTGAAATGACCCGAGTCGAAATTTTGGTACTATTTTGACCACTTTTTAGGATAATTTACACCTACTTAGCTGAACTATACACCTACATAGACCAGCAATAAC